CGAGAACCAAACATAATAATAAAAAAACGTTCATTGTGGTAAACGCAGAAATAACTTAATCTAAGTAAGAATTTTTTCTTCCCGATTTGTAAATTATCCTTACGTGATAGGAAAAAAAAAGAATGATATTTTCGAAATCTGCGTAGCTGAATTATGGAAAATCCGTTATTAAAACCAAAATAACTTTTATGTTTTTTGAATTTTGCACAAAGCTACATGAGCGCTATCTGCGATAGCCGTCCCTAATTTAGCAGTGTAAGACTAGAAGGAAGGCAGCTAGTCATCACCACCCACCGCCAACTCTTGGGCTACTCTTTTACCAATGAATAATGGGATTGACAGTCATATTATAACGCCCCCACGGCTGAAAAAGCGAGCATGTTTGGTATTACTGGATTCGAACCCGCGACCATCAGATTGCGAGTCGAGCGCCCTAACCATCTGGCCATAACTTTTATGAGGTTTAAATTCGCAGGCCTGTGTAATATTTGTTCAGATTTCTCAAACGTTTCAACATTATAAACCACTTGTTTTGGATCTTATTGGCAGGTTTTCCAGTCGATTGGGTTTGTCGTTTTCTAAACATTGGACAACCGAAGATTCCAACAAACTTTTTTTACAGTTTATCCAGGTGATCTACAGGTGTGAAAAAACTGTAACAACACTTTATATGACCACTCATCCATTCCTTTTCTTGTATCATATCAAGTCTGAGACCTTCAAATTTGAAGTATTCCTCAATTTTCTTCGTTCAACTTAATGATTTTTTTAAGTATTGCCAGAATATATATAGTTTATACGAGGTATCTAAAGCAGGAGACTTTCTATCCAGGACAACCAGTGGATCCATCTGATCATCCTCCTTTATTCTTTCCAGGACAATCAGTGGATCCATCTGATCATCCTCCTTTATTCTTTCCAGGACAACCAATGGATCCATCTGATCATCCTCCTTTATTCTATCCAGGACAACCAGTGGATCCATCTGATCACTATCCTTTATTCTATCCAGGACAACCAGTGGATCCATCTGATCACATCCTTTATTCTATCCAGGACAACCAGTGGATCCATCTGATCCTCCTTTATTCTTTCCAGGACAACCAGTGGATCCATCTGATCACATAAATCACAACTCATTGTTGATAAAACAATTCACATAAATCACAACTCAATGTTGATAAAACGCTGCACATTAATCACAACTCAATGTTGATAAAACGATGCACATTAAATCACGTCTCATGTTAATAAAA